TCTCTTAAACTTTATTACCTCGCATTTAGTAGCATTCGAAGAACGCTTTTCATGTTCGGTCTGTCATCCGGTGAAATACTAACACAAGCTAAAGCAACCTTAAGGACTGCTAACATCTGTCTTGTAATAGCTGCTGATGTTTTACTCACACTGAAATCAAGAATTTCATCCCATTTATTTTGCTGTGCTGAGTTGCTTAACACCGCCTTGGCTAGCTCAGTTCCTCCATTTACCGGTGGCTTTCCTGTCAGCAGCTCCAGGAGAATAACACCGAAGCTGTAGACGTTCCCAGCTTTTGTGAGTCTCATTGTGTATGCATACTCTGAAACATAATGGAGAAGAAGTTTAATCCGTTTGCACAACATTTGCAAGCTCGGGGAGAAAAATCTTAGATAAGGGACTTTTTGGCAGGGCTTTTGAAAAACCAAAAGCTGCTTCTAAGACTAAAAAGAACTTTCAAAGGAAGTTGGCCAAAGGTAGCTTCCTCATAAAACTCTTCTGAAAAAAGTGAAAGCTGAAGCTTGCCAATTGGCACTAAGCAAATAATTGAAGAAAAACCAATAAGAAAATCACATAGATCACATAAATCTTTCCATATCGTTAATGGTATCATAAAGGACAATGCAGCAAATGATCGTTATTATGTAAAATGCGTTACCTGGAGGGATGTAACCAACAGAACCAGCAATAGTTGAAAGACTGCCTGTGCTCTTTGAGGGATCAATCACCTTGCAAAGCTCAATGTCTCCAACTTGAGGCTCATTTAGGGACTTAAGCATAATGGTTTTGCTGGAAAGGTCGAAGAGGAGAACTGGGCTGGAGTTGGATCCGTGGAGAAAAGCTAAGCCCTGAGCTACTCCAATAGCAATGCTGTAACGGCTTGCCCATTCCAAAGAACTATTGCCCGAACCAACATGAAGAACATCAGAAAGTGTACCCTTGGGGGAAAATTCATAGAAGAGGTAAGCATTATCGACTGTCAACGCATATGCCAGGGGGATCATGACATTTGAATTACACAACTTTCCAAGAATTTCCAGCTCTTCACCAAACTTTTCATGGCTTCCCAATTGGAATATCTTGTCGCTCCAGTTAAGTTTCTTCACAAAGTAGCTTACACCAGATGGCATGACGGCTTTATAGTAAGTTGAGAACCTCGACTTCAAGAAGATATTGGAGGGGTTTGCCACTGCTTCCATGGCTTTTGAAAAATCAATATTCGATCTGTGGATGCTGTTGGTAGTCAACAATTTTTCTCCGACGACTTGGGGTTGTGCAGTTTCTTCTCCTGGGTCCAAGTGTTCATCGTTAATCCTGTAATATCTTCTCGAAATTAATAAAGATATTAAGGTTATTAAACCAACAGCTATGACAGCAGCCGCAGATGCAACAATAGCACCAGAGGCAACTGGTTTTCTCTTCCTTTGAGATGCAGGTGGCAGATTTTGTGTAGAATTAATCAGATCCTTATTTCCTCCCCAGTTGACATCAACAAAATTTCCGAACTGTGGAACCATTCCGGTCAACTGATTATTTGTTAGAACCAGTCGAGTTAACGTTTGCATTTGCGTTAGGAACTTCGGAATCTCGCCTGAAAATCTATTATTCGAGAGGTCTAAAACCTCCAATGAAGTCAACCTTGATAGACTAATTGGAATATCCCCTTCAAAGAGATTGTAGCTG